GTCATGTTGTACATGAAAGATCAAGAGTCAGTTTCATAGAATCCCTAGTGTGTGAAAAGGGCTTTTGGCCCAAAAAGTCCACAGTGACCCTCAGAGCAACCCCCCCCACCCCCTCCCCCCCCCCCCCCATAACCTACACATCCCTGAACACTACGGGCAATTTAGCATGGCCGATCTATCTAGCCTGCACATCTTTAGACTGTGGGACGAAACCGGAGTACCCGGAGGAATCCCACGCAGACATGGGGAGAATGTGCAAACTCCACACAAGTTGTCACCCAAGGGTGGAATCAAACCCAGGCCCCTGGTGCTGTGAGGCAGCAGTGCTAACCACTGAGCCACCAAGTATTTGGATTTTATATTATAGTAAACTAGATATCAAATCTTACAGACATTTTGAAGGGAGAAGTCAAGTCAGGAGGCTGGGTTCAAGCCCCACCTGCCCCAGAGGTCTGTAATGACATCTCTGAACAGGCTGGCTGGAAATTGTCCAAGCAGAAGTTGAAAAATGTAAAAGTGAAGTGTTGCAGCACCACTAGTGACCAGAGGTTGTAATTACAATGGGACCGTGTTTACATCAGCAATTTTCATTCCAGATGTAGACAGTTTCGTACAACCGGACAGTTGATAAGATAAGGATTGAAGATATAAGCTTCATTTAAATGTATTTACACCTAAAGTAACGGGATAGTTTACTCTGTAAAATGTACCAAATCAGAGCAAGCTTATGTTTCTTTGGAGGAGATATATCTGAAGGAAAACACTTCTTGCAACAGGAAAAGGAGCTCAAAATACAAACATTCACAAATAGAGACCAGATAAACTTCCTGCGCTAAAACATTGCTCTATATTAAACTGTCTATCCCCCTTCTCCAAAGCCTTTACAGATCACGAACAATCCACAGCCACAAGGAACTATTATTTTAGCTCAAAACAATCGGAAAGCAGATATTATTGTCACTAATCCATCAAATCCTGAATTTGAACATTCACACTGAACTTTTAAACTTTGGCACTGATTTATCTGTCAGACTGCAAGATCATGGAGAATGCACCGGAACATTGCTGCCATTCTCCAAATACTTCCCCCTAAGATACACACACACACACAAAAAAAAATTGGAGATTATGAACTACTCACTGACAACTCTAAACCATTTGCAGGAACAGACCACCTTTGCTTTAAACTCAGATGATCCTCTGAAGCGCCAATGCGTGGCACAATGGGAACTCCCTGATACCCCGCAGAACGGGAACCGGCAACTTCTGACAATGCAAGCAGCGACCTAGAGTGTTTATTTCCCCTTCTTCCCATCGTCTTACCTGTCGCTGGCTGGCTTTTTCCGCCTTTTGGTTGAGGGGCGAGGCTGCTGGTTTAAAACGGGCCGATGCAACAAACGAAAAGCGGTCGGCTGAGTAGTCACCAGGCGACCCCGAACGTGTTGGACGACCTTTAACGCTGGCCCTTGATCTCTCCGAGGCGGTGGCTCAGTCGCCGAGTTGCCCAGCAGCAGATAGAATAGCAGGCGACCAGCAGCCAGAGAAGCAGCGATTACAGCCAATTTATAGTGAAGTTTCATTGTGTCTACTCCCAAGATCCGCTCGCCTCAATCCACGTCATTTGCTGTGCACATTGTTGCCGTAAAGTTCTTCATACTTCGTCGGAAATTAATTCCAGATTTCACTTTTTTTCTTGGCCTCCTGGTTCTGTTTTTTTGGTGCAGCGCGTACACAGCGCCCCATTCAACGTGACAAATCCTTCTCTCAGCATCCTGCAACGCTGTTGCACCCCATCATTAACAAAAAGGTTGTGTCATTTTAGCCTGCTGGCAGCATTGCAAGGGGCGGTGATGTTACACATTGTTTGAAGAATATTGCAAATTGAGAGATACAAATGCTTTCAGTACTCGAGTACACGTGACAATAAACATAATCCTAATTATTTTATGGATTTATGTCAGATTTCCAGCTGTTGAAAGTTCCTTCCTCTCCCACATTAAGAAATATTTGTTTTCCTTTGTCATATTCAGCAGCCGGACAGTTTAACCACCCATTATAAAAGTCAACAAAACTTCAAAAGATGGCACATTGGCTGCTGATGCTCGGATAATGAAAGACCAGAGACGGTGGTAGCATTCACACCTTATAATTAAAGCCAATTCCATCAGAAAAATATATGGTTGATTGTATACCAAAGACAGACTGCAAATTTTGTTTAATGTGAAAAACATAAAACTCTATAACTACGGAAGTTTATTTGCACCCACAAAGACAAAAAGTCTAGGAAAATTAAACTGAAAGAAGTAGTAAGCTTGAGCGATATTGGGCCAGATTTGGCAGTTGTAGTTGTGGCATAACTAACAGGTTTTCCCCTCATTACTCTTTGAAACTGACAGGAACTTCTGCATATACCTAGCACTGAAGAATTCTCACAGACAGCAAATTAGCAAGTAGGTGCTATACTTTGCTTTTTATGAGTTTATAAAAAGTGAAATAAAGGTCGGACTACATGCATGGAATTGAGATAAAAGTTTAATATCATAAGTGTTTTATTACTTTTTATTATTTTAGAAATCTACTGATTTTTTTTCATAGTATTGAGAAATTTGATGCCAGTAGAGGGGAGTCTAGACTGATGCTTAAAGCAAAGAAAATAGTTAATGTTTCTCTGTTTATTTCAGTCTGCAGCATTCTGTTCTTTAAACCGTAGTACAAAAGTGTGTTAAGCTTTTCATTCAGTCTTGCTTATGTCTTGCTGTTGAAATGTAAGTTTGTGAGTTCACGGAAGTAGAAATGGATTTAAGTTAGTAAACAGTACTATAGTTCAATAGTTTGACAGGAAGCAAGAACAACTGAAACAAATAGCGATTATGAACAACTTGTTCACATGCTTGAGGTGCAGATCTAAGATTTAAGGAACTACTTGACGGAGTGAAGGTCCCAAAAATGCACAAGTCAGGTATACTGTTCAAAATGCGTGATCTTATGAGGTCATAGAATCCCTACAGAGCAGAAAGAGGCCATTCAGTCCATCGAGTCTCCACCAACCCTTCAAAGAGCATCCCACCCAGACTCAGTCCCCCACCATATTCCTGTAACACCGCATTTAGCATGGTCAATCTACCTAAGCTGCACATCCCTGGACACTTCAGGGCAATTTAGCATGGCCAATCCACCTAAAATGCACATCTTTGGACTTCAGATATGAGCATGCCAGGAAAGGTCCTAATCTCATGAATGATTGGAAATGCTCTACCATTGTTTAAGTAGCTCATTTATATCATTGCAAAGAAAATGTCACTAGACCAGCTGCTTTGAATTTAATTTGGTTTTTCCACCTCATTCCCATGGTGTTTGTGGCACAGTAGTAATGTCCATATCTCTGAGCTAAGAGTCCCAAGTTCAAGTCCTACCTATTGTTGGAGCAGCCCCTGGTCAGCGGTGGCACAATATAATTGCCCATCGGCATAAATAAGCTGTCGTAACAGAATTGGCTTGCCTGGTCCAGCATTAAAGTGAGGCCATAAGTTGGCACAATGGGAGCTTTGAGAAGGGGTTATCCCAAGGTGACAGGCTCTACTTTGAACGAAGAATATTACAAACTAATATACAGGGAATTCTATAAAAACAACAGCTGCACATGTGTGTAGGAGGAAGTTCAATAAGAGATGTGTGAGAGCAGACAGCCTGAAGTTTGTAGCAAGCATTAAAAAGACAAGTCGGATCCCACAATAACAGAGACAAACGATCAGGGTAGGATTATGGCTCGTAAAAGTCTAGGAGATCAGGCAAGTTCAACGAGCTGTGAAAGTGATTGAATTTTAGTCTTATCAATGAAAAAGATTTTGTCTTATTATGTGAAAAATGTTAGTCAGAGTAGGGCCAGTAAATTTTATCTCATGACACTATGTGATTAGAATGAGTTATAATGCAGCTGCAAGATAGAGGATAGTGGTGAACTGAGCCTCCAAGGTCAAGTGGGACTGAAACTGCTCACAACTAATTAACTAAAGAATGCTAACTGTAGGTGTAAACATAAAACTTTACATATAACTAACTTTATATTAGAACTAATATGAGGAACCTTATAAGCAATACATAAGAACTAACTTCCTTTTGTATCTCCTGTGATTAGGACAATGGGAAATGTAAGATGAGTAACAGAATTTGATGGGGATAACAATGAATACAATGAATAACAGAATTCGAGCAGCCCTTACAGATAAGCATGTCTGGAAAATGTCTGAGATAGAGTATAATCATTAACTTTGGAATGTGAATTCATGAAATTGTAAGATCCCAAGGCCTGATGATTACAGTATCTGGTAAACATCATGAGATCATGGGGAAGCTGGGGCTTCCATAGGGGTGTCCATCATTGATAAAGTGTTTCACAGGATTGGATGTATAGATTAAGGGGAAAGGAACAATGACAATGTTGCATGTAATTATTGCAAGCAAAACGTGTAAAAATGCTGTATCCCACTGGTGAAATCAGTGTCATTGATCTGTCATAAATCTGAGCTGAATATTAAGACGGTAACTGGGCCCCACTTATAAGCCAGATTCAGAGTGGTCTCTGGCTTCTCCCGCACGTGTGATAAAGAGCTTGAATAATAATCGATTGTACTTCTGAACGCAGAATTCAAGGCTGCTCTTTGACATCTCTTCCAAACGGGTATTTAGGAACATCTCTGAACAAGTTTAAAAAAAACATCCGCCTGGTCCTCCTGATCTTATCTTTCCTTAATCATATCATTGTAAGATTCTCTGTCTTTTCCTGTTCTTGCAAATAATGAAACTTCTGCAAGTTAGTTGATGCTTAAGACAGAATTTAACTGAGGATAAAACATGTCAGGGATAACACCCTGAGATGTCAACAGAATAAGAAAAGAGTGATTGCCCAGGGCCAGAAATTATGTATGAATGAGTTAATAGCATTAAAGTTTTTAAGCCAAATTTTAGACATCGTGCTAAACATTTTATCACAGACATCAAAATAAAGTATATCATTTCCAGTGTGAAAAAAATTATTGTCAATAATCCATCCAGGTCCATTTCTGAAAAGAGTATGAAGGAATACACTTTGGTAGGCCTCAGTGCAGTAGGTGGTGAAGAACTGTCAAAGAACACACCAGGCCAACATTCCTGAATAGTTTGAGAAATTATGAAAACTTGGGGCACTGAGAACAGAAAGGGGTTGGAACAAACATAAGGAGCTGTTTGTACCTGCCAGTTATGCCAGCCATTCTGGACTGGTACTCAGAACTGTGTTATGTTCCATCTTGATTGAGCTATCAACTATCTCTTGAAAATCAAATTTAATACAGGCATTTGTCTAAGTTCTTAGCAGATATTACACCAACCTCAACGGATGTATGTGAATGCACTAGTGTACCTGATTTTCTTTTTCATTGTCAAGTAAGTTATGATCATATGATCATCATTATGTATCAATCTCTTTCTTGTATATATTCAGTGACTTGGCCTCCACAGCCTTCTTTGGTAGAGAATTCCACGGGTTCATCATACTTTAAGTGAAAAATGTTTTCTTATCTCAGTCCTAAAGGTCTACCCCATATCCTGAGACTGTGTCACTGATTCTAGACTCCCAAACCAGAAAAAAAATTCTCTCATATCTAGTCTATCCAACCCTGTTAGAATTTTGTACATTTCAATCAAATCCCCTTTTATCCTTTGAAACTCCCGTGAATACAGACCCAATTGAACCAGTTTCTCCTCATAAGACAGGCCTGCCATCCCCAGTATTAGTCTAGTGAATCTTTGCTGCACTCACTCTTAGTATATCCTGTGTTAGGTAGGGAGAGCAAAACTACATGCAATAGAGTCATAGAGTTAAACAGCATGGAAACAGACCCTTTGGTCTAACTCATCCATGCCGATCAGATATTCTACAAGAATCTGGTGTCTTTGTCAGCATTTCGCCCCTATCCCTCTAAACCCTTCCTATTCATATACCCATCCATTTGCTGTTTAAATGTTGTAATTGTACTAGCTTCCACCACTTCCTCTGGCAGCTCTTACACGCACCACCCTCTGCGTGAAAATGTTGACCCTTAGGCCCCTTTTAAATCTTTCCCCTCTCACCTTAAACGCATGCCTTCTAGTTTTGGATTCCCCTACCCTGGGGAAATGATCTTCACTATTCACCCTAACCACACTCCTCATGATTTTATAAACTTTTTTAAAGTCACCCCTCAGTTCCAGGATGATCTCACCAAGATCCTTTATGTCTGCATTAAGACACCCCTAATTCTGAACTCAAATGATCTTGTAATAAAGGCCAATATGCCATTTGCCTTCCTAATTGCTTGCTGTGCTGCCTGACTACTTTCATTGACTGGTTTACAAGGACATCCAGATCTCTTTTTCCATCCACATTTCCCAAAATATCATAAATTAAGTAAGAGTGTTCCTTACCGTATTTCACACCAAAATGCATAACTTCACACTCACCCATATTGTTTGTTCATGCACTCAACTTGTCTAGATCATTTTGAAGCCTTTTTACATCTCTCTCACAACTCATAATCCTGCTTGCTCCTCCATGTCCTCAGCCAGCATCCCCAAAACCTCCATGCATAGTGATTGCCTGCAGTCCCCCTCCACAGGAATTGGCATCAGACATGGATGAGCCTTACCACATCATCATGGCACATCTCCTACACTCTGAAGTGCAGTGCTGCAATTCAGAGTGCATCAGCTCTGTGCATTCAATGCTGCTGCTTGGCTGCAGTGCAGTGCAGTACTTTGCGTGCAGTGGC